AGATGTCTCATTAAATTGTTGGTTTCAGATCTCTCCAATTTGTTGATGTAGGAACTCAGAGCTATAAACTTGCCTCTGAGTACTGCCTTTGCTGTGTCCCAGGGGAGCTGGTAATTTGTGTGTTCATTTTTGCTGAATACTATGAACATTTGAACTTCCTCTCTTCCATGACCCACTGATGATTCAGCAGTGTGTTGTTCCGCCTCCATGTGTCACAGGACTTTCTTTGGTGGCTTTTGGTGTTGAGTTTTAATTTTATTCCCTTGTGTTCTGAGAGAATGCAATGTTTCTGAATTTGGACAAGTTTGCTTTGTGACCTAAAATGTGGTCTATTTTGGAAAATGTTCTATGTGCTGCTGAGAAAAACTTGTATTCTGATGCTGCTGGGTGAAATATTCAGTAGATGTCTGTTAAATCTAGTTGACCTATACAGTTGTTTAGGTCTGCAGTTTCTCTGTTGAGTTTTTCCCGAGTTAATCTATCTAGTATGGAAAGTGGAGTCTAAAAGTCCCCAACAACAAATGTCTTTGGATCTATGTGAGATTTGAGGGAAAGTAGTGTTTCTTGGATAAATTTCTGTACCCGGTTGTTTGGCGAATAGAGATTTAGAATTGTAATATCCTTCTCAAGGAGAGATCCCGTAATTAGTATGTAGCGACCTTCTTTATCTCTTCTCACTGATTTTAATTTGAAGTCTGTTTTATCTGATATTAGGATTGCAACTCCCACCTGCTTATGGGGGCCATTTGCTTGGGAGATTTTGTTCTGCCTTTAACATTGAAAATGTGTTTGTTTTTATGGGCAAGATGTGACTCCTGCAGGCAGCAGATAGAAGGGTCTTGTTTTTTAATCCAACTAGACAGTTTATGTCGCTTAATTGGAGAGTTAAGTCCGATAATGTTGAGCGATAGGACTGAGTGGAATTGGGGAGTTCCTGCCATTTTATCCACCTTCTTGGGGGCTGCGGCAACTGGGTTCTTCCTATGATTCTTGGATTCTCACTTTGGGTGCACTTTCTTGGCCTTTATTGTGGTCTTGTTGTTTTTCTATGTGTAGGACATCTTTAAGTATCTTTTGTAGAGCTTGTTTGTGGGAGATATATTGTTTCAATTTTTCTTTGCTATGGAAGTTTTTTATTTGACCTTCGGTTATGAAGGAGAGTTTAGCTGGGTACAGTATTCTTGGTTGAGAGTTGTTTGTCTTCAGGGTATGGCATACATCATTCCAGGCTCTTCTTGCTTTGATTGTCTCTGCTGAGAAATCTGAGTTGATTCTAATTGGTTTCTCTTTATAGGTGATTGATCTTTTCTCCTTGACAGCTTGAAGGATCTTTTCCTTGGTCGGAGTTGATCTTGTGCAGATTACAATGAGACAGTGGGATGTCCTTTTCTGGTCTAGTCTATTTGGAGTTCTTAAAGCTTCTTGTATCTGAATAGGCGTATTTTTTTTTGCATGTTTGGGAAGTTCTCTTCTAGGATCCTGTTAAACAAATTTCCTAGACCATTAACTTCTGTCTCTAGGTACTCCTCTACATGCATTATCCTTCTGATGGTGTATTCGAAGTGGTTAACAAATCTATCACACTTCTTGGATTTGTCTTGGATGGTTGTATGTTCTTCCTCTATAATATCTAGGCTGTCTTCAATCCTCAAAATTCGATCTTCTGCACGGTCTAACCTACTATCAAGACTGTCTGCTTTTTTTATTGTGAGAATACTGTACAGAGGATTTAGATTTCATGAGCAAGATAATAGGTATATTTCTTATCAATAATTGTTGCCCCCTGGTTGTTTCCCCTCCCCATCCCTTCCCATATTACTCCCCTCCCCTCACCAGATCCTCCCCCCACCACCTACCAAAGTTGTTAAGTTCGTTTTTTGACATAACGACTTGTACATCTCATTGTTGCAATGGGTACACCTGTATCCCTAGTTAAACGATTTGTTTTTTTCCCTTTCCCTCCACAAATTATAACAACAGCATATACAGTGAACGTATGGGTTATAGTGTGGGGGAGGGACATACAATGCAACAGAAATCATCCTATAAATATGATAGAAACAATTGCATGAAAGGAAAAAAACAAAAAAAATTTTAATACTTATCTTGGGGTTCATTTCTCTAAAATCAACTTATCTGACGTTTTCTGCTTGACTCAGACATATACTAGTTATTGCAAATAAGGGAAACTATATGACCTATGTTTCTTTGGGCCTGGCTTACTTCACTTAATATAATTTTTTCCAAGTCTTTCCATTCCTAACAAATGGGGCAATGTCATTCTTTCTGATGGTGGCATAGAATTCCATTGTATATATATACCACATTTTCTTGATCCATTCACCTACTGAGGGGCATCTGGGTTGATTCCATATCTTACCTATGGTAAATAAAGCTGCAATAAACATAGTCGTGCTGGTAGCTTTAGTGTGCTCTTGTTTGTGAACATTTGGGTAAATGCCCAAAAGTGGGATTGCTGGGTCATAGGGGAGCTCAATGTGGAGTCTTTTGAGGAAATTCCATACTACTTTCCAAAGTGGTTGAACAAGTTTACACTCCCACCAACAGTGCAGTAAGGTTCCCTTGTGTCCACATCCCCTCCAGCATCTGTTGTTATTAGAGTTCTTGATTATAGCCATTCTAACTGGGGTGAGGTGGTATCTCAATGTTGTTTTGATTTGCATTTCTTTTATGGCTAGGGAGGTTGAGCATTTCTTCATGTGTCTATTGACCATCTTTCTTTCCTCTTCAGAGAGGTTTCTCTTTAAGTCTTTAGCCCACTTATTTATTGGGAAGTTGTTTCTTTGAAGATTTGTTGTTGGGGGATTTAATTTTTTGAGTTCCAGGTACATTTTAGATATGAGACCCTTGTCTGTTCTATGGCTACTGAAGATCTTCTCCCAATCCATGGGCTTTCTATTGCTCTTGCTAGCTATGTCCTTTGCCATGCAGAAGCTCTGCAGTTTCATCCAATCCCATTTGTCCAACCTTTCTTTAATTTGTTGAGTTTCTGGTTCTCTATTAAGAAAATTTTGGTCTGTGCCAAGGAGGCTTGGGTTTCTCCTATTCCATCCTGTAATGTTTTCAGAGTGTCTGCTTTGACACCCAGGTCTTTGATCCATTTGGAGTTGATTCTGGTGCAGGGTGATATATAAGGATCTAGCTTTAGTTTTCTACAAGTAGTTAACCAATTTTGCCAGCACCATTTACTGAAGAGGCTGTCTTTCTTCCGTTCTATTTTTTTAGCTCCCTTATCGAAAATTAGATGGCTATAGGTCTGTAGGTTCATTTCTGGGTTTTCAGTTCTATTCCATTGGTCCCGGGGTCTGTTCTTGTGCCAGTACCAAGCTGTTTTGTTTACTATGGAGTTGTAGTAGAGTTTGAAATTTGGTATTTATATTCCTTCAGTGCTGTTCTTTTCGTTAAGGGTGCTTTTGCTGTCCGAGGTCTTTTATTGTTCCATATGTGTCAACGTCTAAGGGGTTGGGATCCCTTGGTAAGGATCGAGAAATCACCAGGACACACTAGATACAGAGTGCAAACAGCAATTGCCACTGCATGCTGTGTTTTATTGCTAGTGGTTATTTAAAGACAAGCAAGCATTATCTTTGCCAAGATTTAGTCAGGAGACGTTCACACAAAGAATTTCAACAGACACAATTTTGCTTAAACTATGAAATAATGTCTTTGTATATTTTTATCTAAACTATTTTAGAGCAAGCTCAAACCACTTCCCCGTACTCAGGAAAATGCTTGACTAGCTGTTTGTCTATGCTTAAGTAAGCAGAAGAGCTACTTCCTCAGCTCCCAGGAGTCTGTGACATGTGCTTTGAGATAGGGAGACAGACATGTTCCCTCTCTAGCCTGGCATGCCAAAAGCTTTCCACATACTCCAACAAAGTCCTCAGATAATCCTGAGGCTGGAACCTGCATCATTCTGCCCCTCCAAGACAGACCCTGAGTCTTCACAATTTCTTTCTTTTTTCTTTTATTTTAAAAGTAAAGCTTTCCACAGGGTCATCATAGAAGCTTGCATTGGGTTCATAAAAATCAAATATAAATGTACAAGTACAAACAAAGTAATAACAATTATAATTCCCATACCACTAGCAGTATGTGAAATGCTTTGTAGTATTCCTTTCGGATCCAACCCTTCCAACTGTTTAATAAAATGCATCAGCAATATTAGAAGCATCCTCATTTGCAAATTGTTTACTAAAGATATCATGTACATTAAATTGTAACTGAGCAATCAATTGAGCAGCAGTAGAATTTCCAGATAAATACTGCTGTATTACATTCCAATCATGTATAGATTCATTATATTTTACATTAGTAATGCAAAGGTAGTAGAATTGCAATCACATTTCAATAATAACTGTTTTTCCACAACCAATAACTTTTTCCTAACCATCCCACCGTCTGTTTAAGAACATTAATTTGTGTTGGTAACTGAGCATCAATTTCTACCTGTGAGACCCACAATTCATGTGAATCCCGGTGCCAATCTTCCACAAAGTGTTTAGTTTGTAAGGAAGTGTGTAGGGCAATTCCAGACACCGCAGCAACAGTGGTAATAGCAATTAAGCTTTAAATCACAGCTACAATGGCTCCAATCATATGCTTTGTACATTTTAGCAGTTTCGTAAAAAAATCCAATAACAACACTATCCAGGGGATTAGGGGACCATTCTCTTCCTAATTTAACAGGCAGTCAAATACGAGTTCTTTGTTGTAAAATCAGAATACTATCACTGTCATTAAAATCAAGAGAGGAATTAACACAAGAATACAGGTGACAATTAAAACAAGAAATAGTAGGAGAAAATGTAAAATTTCCTACTAAAAATACATAAGGCAGAGGTAGACAAGCAGTTACATCATAAGATTTGTACAAAGTAAAATTATAAATGGACGCAGAGTTTGCCGTTCCCGAAAATGATCCATTTGATAGCATCACGGGTTTCAGCGCCACTACGACCTTCCAAAGATGAGTCTGAACAGCAGTGGGTGCAGCCATGAAGGCCCATCGAGCATCTGCAATGCCTCCATCTCCCCAGGCCATCAATCGAGCTCCGGTAAGCAATCCATTAACGGCATCCGGCATCCTAGTAACTTTAGATAAATCACATCTGATAATATTCCATCCTGAACATGTGTTAATAAACTGTCCAAAAGGTACCTAATCAATAAAATTATTGAACATTTTTCCAAATGTTCCTCTACACTCTTGCTACAGAAAAGGCTGATATTTTAAATCAATATAAGTAAAATCAGGGCAATAGTTAAGGATAACTCGCCATCAAAGTGATGCTTTCGCAAGCGTCACCAAGTAGTTAATCGCTGCAGCTGTGTTCTAGAATTGGAAGTGCCTTTCCCAGGTAAGCCCCAATGTTGCCAATTCATAACTAAACAAGGAGGAGGCCCCAGACGAACAGGCAAGGAATGAGTATAGTAAGTAAAATTTAAAAAGCTACCATCATCCTTACTGTTAAATGTCAAATTATTCCAAGGAGGAGATAAAACAGAAGGCATGGTATAGACGGTTATATCCATGTCTCCCCAAACAACGGGTTCCAATAAAAGAGGGTTAGGAACAAAGGCCCAATAACTTACATTGGCATGGGCAGAATTTACAGTAAACAGGGCGTACGTACATGGCCAGGAACAAGTTCTCGGCTGTGACAGGTTTCCCAGTGCGTTTTAACATCTTTTGTCCTTCTCCAGTCAACTTTTTAACCTGCCCCCAGGTGGGCAGCGGGGCAGCCAACTGACGCTGACCACAACGTTGTCCCAAAGCCAAGTGAGCTATGGCCCGCACGGGGATTTCTTCTTCCTCAACTGGTGGCCGATTCCTTGTAGGATACAGGACTGTCCTCACTGGGCCGCATCTGTATCCATCGGGCAGGAAGCCAGTATTGTCTGCCATCCTGTGTAGACACAAAACCATATCCTTACCCTTATGCAATAATGTTCCTCATTGCCATTCTGCATCCAATGCAATCTTAATCCATACAGGAGCATTTAAATAAGGTTTTTCTGATATTTGTTCAAAATGGCGCTCAGCTCTAGTTAAAATATCTCCTTGCGGTAAGTTTAAAAAGTTAAGAACAAAAAGCCTGTTGTAAAATTATTTTAGGATTTTGCATGGAAAACTACAAAATATCCATACCTTCGTCCAACCTTTTCCTCCTTTATAATTTTTTAATTTATTGTTTTTGTGTGCTATGAACTCGTTCAATAATGGCTTGTCCTTGGGGGTTATATTCTATTCCTGTAATATGTACATATGGTTCACAAAATCTTTTAAATTTGATACTTTTATAGTCTTTATTTTGTCAGGTACTCCCATGATGGCAAAAGCTTTCCAATAAGTGTTGTATTACATGGTTAACAGTTTCTCCTGTAAGGGCAAAAGCCCAAACAAATTTGGAATAAGTATCTATTGTAACATGTACAAAGGAAAAACAGCCAAAGGCTTGTACATGGGTTATATCCATTTGCCAAAGCTCGTTAGGTTATAATTCTCAAGGATTTACTCCAGCAGGTATAACTCTCAGATGCATTGCTCTGCAAATAGGACATATTTTAATAATTTGTTTAGCTTGAGAATAAGGTATTTTATAATGCATATGTAAATGGCTAGCATTTGTATGTAAATGAGCATGATCTTGTTCAGCAGAAGCAAAACTAACTAATTTATCAACCTGATTATTGCCATACACAAGGTACCCAGGTAACGAAGAGTGAGCCCTAATGTGAGTTACAAACACTTTGGCATTACGTTGTTGCAGTAATGCTTGTAATTGTTCAAATAATTGGTTTAGCTGGGGTTTTGATGAATACGTAAAAGCAGTGACTATATTAGTCACAACTCCTACAGCATAGGCAGAATCAGTAACAATATTAATATCTCCCCCAAAATCTTGCAACACCTTAATAATAGCAAAAAGTTCATTTTGTTGAACTAGTGCTAAAGTAGTTGTTTGCACCCAATATTTATTTGTCATCCAATAAGCACTATTTGTTTTGGAGCCATCTGTAAAAATGGTAAGAGCAGTGGGAATAGGGGCCTTGGTAATTATATCATTAATGACAAACTGTTGTTTACGCAAGCAATCCCACGATCTACCTTTGGGAAAATGATAGGAAAATTGCCTGGTAAAATTTACTAATGCTATTTGTAGCATTTCAGACATGTTTAACAAATATTCCACTTGGTGTTTTGGTAAAGGAAAAATGATTTCAAATAAATCATACCCCGATGGAGCATACCCATTGCCTGGACTGTTGAATAATAATTGCCAACTGTTGTTCATAATGCATAATATTTTTTTGTAAATCTATGCTGTGTATAAATCCACTCTAATGGTAGCTCATTTTGTCCTATAATTCCTGTTGGGTATTTCCATGTATCCAAAATATATACATTTATGGTTTCATCCAGAGTTACTTGATGTAAAAACATTTCTTTTATTCTCTGCTCTACAAATTGTAATTCTCTTTCTGCCTCCTTAAAGTTCTTTTGCTATGTAAATCAGGCTCCCCTTGTAACAATGAAAACAAATTATGTAATTGATAAGTAGGAATTCCTAATGCCGGTTGCATCCAATTAATATCTCCTAGTAACTTTTGAAAATCATTTAACGTATGTAATTGATCACGTTGTAAAGATATTCTTTGATGTGCCACTGTTTGCCTAGAAACAACATATCCTAAATATGTTACCACCGTATCCTTTTGTATTTTTTCAGGTGCTATTATTAATCCAAAATCTTTAAATATAGAGGGTAAGCACTGTAACACCATTTCTAATTCTGCCATATTTGGTCCTGCAAATAAAATGTCCTCCATATAATGAGAAATATAAATGTGAAGCCATTTTTGTCTAACAGGTTTTAAGGCCTTATCAACATATATCTGACACATGGTTGGAGAGTTCATCATTCCTTGGGGCAACACCTTCCATTGGAAGCGCTGATGATGGGCTTGATGATTTATTTGTGGTAAAGAAAAGGCAAATCTTTTACAATCTTTTACATGTACAAGAATAGTAAAAAAAGCAATCCTGTAAATATATTACTATTATTGGCCAATTTTTAGGAAGCATGACAGGCGACAGTATACCAGGTTGTAAAGCCCCCATAGGATACATGGATGCATTAACTCCTTGTAAATCAGTCAGCAATCTCCATTTCCCTGACTTCTTTTTAATAACAAATATTGGAGAATTCCATGGTGACATAGACGGCTCAATATGTCCTTTGGTTAACTGTTCTTCAACTAATTGATGAGCTGCTTTTAATTTCTCTTTTGATAAAGGCCATTGTTCAATCCAAAAAGGTTTCTCATATTTCCATAATGTCTTTATGGGCTCCATTTAAAAATGCTAAAATTGAATGTGAGCTCCCCATTATTCCAGTACATCTCTACCAATTATGTTAACTGGAACTTCCATAATATAAGGTTTAAGGAAAGCTGTCTGTCCATCTTCTGAGGTTATAGTAACATATGACACCGCTTGTCCTATAGAATTTACGGGAATATTGCTAACTCCTTTAATATTACAGGGGATTATTTCATATAATAAATGATTAGGCCATTCATGAGTGTTGATAATTGTAATATCTGAGCCAGTATCTATTAGTCCTGTCAATATCTTTCCCTGCATATTAATTTTAATCTTTTTTTTTTTTGGGTCCGGTCATGGGGCCTGAACTCGGGTCTGGGCACTGTCCCTCAGCTCTTCAGCTCAAGGCTAGCGCTCTACCACTTGAGCCACAGCGCCACTTCCGGCTTTTTTTTTCTTTTTGCTTATGTGGTGCTGAGGAATTGAACCCAGGGCCTCAGGCATGCAAGGCAAGCGCTCTACCACTGAGCCACCTTCCCAGCCCCTATTAATTTTAATCTTAAGCTGTATTTTAGTAATATGAGTAGTACAAAACACATTTTGTTGGTTAGTACTTCCAAATCCCCCAATGCGGGGTGTAAATTACTTTCCAATAGATATATATGGTAATAACAAAATTTGAGCAATTCGTTCTCCCCTTTTAAAGGAAATATCTGCAGCAGCTGACATTAAAATTTTTATTTCCCCAATATAGTCAGCATCGATAATTCCTAAATGTACTAAAACTCCTTTTGCATTAAGACTGGATCTACCGGTCAGTAGGCCAAGTGTTCCTTCAGGTAAAGGCCCATAATTTCCAGTAGGAATTTTTTGTGGCTTATCACCACCTTTCAAAGTAAAATCTTCTAAGGCTGGTACGTCCACTGCGGCGCTGTGGGCTGTGGCAGGGATAAGGGAGAAAATGGTTGGCTGCCCTCGGTTATTAATCCTGGGCCCCGGGGCTGGCCGATGGAGAGTTTCCCTGCATAGGTTAAGTATTTTTTATAGGAATTCCTTTATTGTCTATTTTTGATCTATACTTTCTTGCCCAGTGCTTTCCTTTTTTTACATTTAGGGCAAATTCCTGGTCCTCTCTTGTTAACATCAGTAGCCTTTTTACAATTATTTTTTATATGTCCCATTTGACCACAGCCAAAACATTTTAGATTAGAGGGTTTGGTTTGTAAAGCATGCCAGGGAGTGGCCATAGTTTCAGCAAACAACTGCATATGCCGGGATTCGGATGTAATGTATTTACACGCCCTTAAATATGTATTTACATCCCCAGATTCTTTAATAGGCAATAGGGCTCGTCTACAGTCCTCATTAGCATTCTCATAAGCCAACATGAGCAGCAGTTGTTGCCGTGCAGCCTCTCCCGCAACAGTACGTTCCAAGGTCAATTTCCATTGTGATAAAAATTCAACATAGAGTTCATTAGGTTTTTGAATTACTTTAGTCCAGGAGCCATAATGCTCTCCTACCAGCTGAATCATCTCCCATGCCTCAATACCTATGTCTCATAACTGCTCATGGATCTCTTCAGGAGAGTTCACTTGCATATGAGCATCTGCATGTTGTTCTGTTCCACTCAACATGGGAAAGGTTATAACCTGCAGGCATGGATTATTGCTCTGTGCATTTTGCCTTAGCCCTTTCTGTACATAACTCAGTAAACCACATTTGCCATTGTAGGTATTCAGGTTCCTTAAGCAAGGCTCTACAAAGCATCTTCCAATCCTCGGGAGCAAAATTATTGTAATGTCGAGCAAGCCCATTAAGCAATTCCTTAACATAATGAGACTGAGGACCATACAACATCACTGCCTTCTTAAGTTTACCAATATCATCAACAGCAAAACCCTCATATCTGGCTGGTTGAGCTATACCATTCATAGGGGGTCATAGAATTACAGGATAAGAAAAATAGGCATTTCATCATCAGACTCACTGTCTGAGCCCTCTGTTTTGTGAGGGAGTGACGCCGTAAAAATTGCATCCACAAGCGGAGGAGCCGAAGGCTGTTTTACTTTCACTTTCTCAGATTCTCCTTTCACTCTGCTAATTTCTAACTCCATATGCTGTAATCTTGATAAAATCAATTCCATTTGCTCAGACATTCTATTTAAGCTTTCAGTTTGTTCTTTTTCAGCCTTCTTTACCTCTTGTTTTTTCTCCATTAATTGCGATGCATCCTTATCTATTGCGTCCTTAACCTCAGAGTCCAATTTTAAATCTACAGTAGAAAGGGTGGCCTCTTTCTTAAAGTCTGCTATTAATCTTTCCTCATTTAAAACTTTAAAAAGGGTATGTAAAATAGCCCAAATGGACCAAAATATAATAGGAATCCTTTCCCCTTCTCGAACAGCTCTTTCTACATTATGCTTTACTCATTTCCAATTATCAACCTGTAACGTCCCTTTGTCGGGAACCAAGGATTCCATTCCCTACATTAATACACATTTCTATGTCAGAAGAAGAAATAATTACACTATAAGCAGCAAGTAAATGTTTCAGCATACATAAGTACGGAGTAGACT